GCCGTCACAAACTTCCACCAGTCCTTCGCTCCCAAGCGAAGCTGGTTCAGCGCGAACCGAACCTTCAAATGCTCAGGGGATGAGCAAGTGAAGAAGCACCCCTCCATGTCAGATATCCACCTCATAGCTGCCACCGGATCCTGTGTACCATCAAACTCTGGTGGCTTGGTGTTGCTGAATTCCCTAAACAGCGGCGCATCACCTCCCTGGGGTCTCGCCGCAGCGATCGCTGCGGTAGCCGCTGCTACAACAACCTCAGAAAGAGCGGCATAACGCTCGTCAAATGTCTCAATCAGCGCGGTCTTAATAGACCCGAACATCTCTGGTATCTCAGCTCTGATGACCGCAGCCACCTCCTCATGAATGATCTGTCGAATCTCCTCATCACTAGCTCCAGCATCCTCCGGCATATGACGTGTCCTCACCATGATCAACCTCTGAAATACAACATGCGATAAATTAGAATTCACTCGAACACTCTTACATCCGACAATCCACCCCTCCTTGATTCTTGGTATCCCAAGATTCTTATTTGGACTGTGTACTGCCCCGGTGCTTTTAGTAGTACAGGCCCAATACTACTGTCCACACCGTCTCAGTACACACCCCAAACCTTCCTCTTCGGATCCCAATTCCCAAGTACTCTATCATGCGTAAACCACTTTCTAACAGATCTCTCATAATCCCCTTGCTGCTACCTACTCACTCTCAGCATCTCATAGCAGCTCACCCCTCCCTAGGCTAAGGCATCACAAATCAGGCCACTCTAGTCCTATTAGCAATACCTAGCCTACTCTAGCATGCAAATACATCATATTAATATTAATATCACGTAATATAAAGGTATTTTGGGAATTCACCGTTCGGGCGCTGACTGATCGTACACACGTTTCTTCCTGGAATTTGTTTCTTTTTCAAGAAAGTCTTTTACTCTTAGAAAATTTTGGTTTTATTTTGAAAATATATTTCCAATTCCTCAGTTTGAGTTCAAATACTCCCGAAGGTGTACCCGGATCCCTCAAACCAAGGCTCTGATACCAATTTGTTACACCGTAAATTTCAAAACAAATTTTTCAATTTTTTTATAAAACATAATTCCATCAATATTCATCAAACAACCATATTAATTATCCAAAATAGGTCAATACAAAATTCCAAGATCACAATGTAGAAACTCGGAGTGTGTGTGTGTGTACGGATCAAGTCGGTGCCTTCCCGCGGTCGTCACTAGTACCTGAAACAATAACATCAAACACTGTAAGCACAAGGCTTAGTGACTTCCCCAAAATACCACATATAACACATATTAGCCACTCGAGGCTATAACTCTGTGGGTCCGTGCACCCAAACTCTGTGAACCCTCAGGTTCTAGCTCTGATAAACATGCACTACATAAATCACATAGAAATAATGCAGTACAACACATAACATGCATAGCATACAATACTCTATCACATAACTCAGGTTACCTACTCAAGGTAATATAGTATAGTGAGAAGACTCACCTCGCGTATCTCGGTATCACATGAATTCTGGAAATCCCTCGTGCTCGATCCTCCGAGCTCTAATCCTCCTATAACATTATATGCTTCTAATTAACACTTTGTATCTCTAAGGTTGACTATTTATAAGGAGTCAACACAAGTCAACTCTGGTCAACGGTCAACGGTCAACTCTAACCGGACTCGGCGAGTACCAAGGCGACTCGGCGAGTCTAGACGTTTTTTATCAACCCTCTGAACCCTCTTACTACACGTCGAGTATCCCCACCTTTACTCGACGAGTTTCACCTGAATGAATCGCGGGGCCACCCCGACTCAACTCGCCGAGTCTCAAGAACAACTCGGCGAGTCCAGGTTGACTCAGTCCACCCGTCACCCTCCTCTAACTCACCCTGACTCACTGAGTCTACCCATGACTCGATTGGACCACTCGCTGAACAGTCCCAAGGCAATCTTCAAGCTACTCGCCGAGTCGGATGAACAGACTCGGCGAGTCCATGCCATGCAACCACTCCAACTCATTTCTAAGGTCAAATCTGCTTCCAAAAACTATAGATCTAGCCTCCTTTGACTGATTCATCACGTAAAGCTCCTATCTTGGTGCTCATAACACCCCCTATAGCTCCATAATGGAGTTTTTGACCTAAGGCATGAGGATTCCAATCCAAAGCCTCCATTGATCCCCAAAAAGCTTGGGTAAAGGGACACTCTGGACCTCTAATGGTCCAGATCTATGGTTCCAACCTCATAAGGGACCAAAAGAGCATCAACTCTTGTCATAAAAGGGTTCAACAAACCCTAAATCTAAATAAGCAATAACAACAAGAGAGTAACTTGGATTTATTACCACAAAAGTGATGCTCTGGACTCAAAACCCACAGAAATGGCTCCTCCTTGCTTCCCTTTTGGCTAGCTCTTCTCTTCCTTGCAAAGATGGCACCTCCAAGGTCAAAAATAGCCTCCTACTAAGCTCCAAGGGCTCACACACGATTAGGGTTTCACTCAAGAGGCTGGTGGGCACAAATGACGGCCATTAGGCCCTTTAAATAAGTCTCAAACCCGAGAAATTAGGGTTTCATTACACAGCACAGACTCGCCGAGTCCATATCCTGGACTCGCCAAGTCCAGGCGCGATCCTTCGTCCAAATCCGCGTCTCTAGTCGGCGAGTCTGAGCTCCAACTCGCCAAGTCCCCCTCACAAATCAACAAAATACAAATCACACGATACCTGATAAAAGTCCGGATGTTACACCTTTTACCCTTAATGGGATAAAAGCAATATCTATGGTCCCCTCGATGATTTAGTTATGGTACCCCTAAGTGGTTGTCCAAGCCTGGACTGATTTGATTTGTTCAATTAGTCGGTCATCATAAATCAGAAATTAGGAAACAACAAATTGATAGAGAGAATGATTATAATCCATGTCTCAGTCCATATGATATCTAGAATAGAGGAATATATGATCACTTATCTAATGGGCGCGTCATTGATTTGTTCAGAGTTCGGCAGCAGCTTTTAAGAGTTATGATTGTTGGTCGGGTTGTGAAGGCGTACTTGCAATAATAGTTATTAGACTTATCTAAGCGGGAGACTATTAGATTAGTGTCTAAGTGCATAACTATAATTGGTATATACTTGACCCGACCCGGCATGGTCCATTTGGGTTGCATGGCATCATGCATTTAGATAGACTAAAATGAGAGAAATAACACTTAAGCTTTATTAATATATTATAAGTTATAATATACTAATAAGATTATTTAATTAGTATTGATCAAGAATTAATCTAGAGTTAATTAAGTGATCAAAAGAAGACTAATTAAATATATGGGTTGATTGTGTAAATTATCCATACTTGTATAGTGAGCTAATGCTCCATGGATTATCAAGTTGGGCTAAAACCCATAGGATGCTACATGGTGTATTTGAACCCATGGATCCAAGGAAATGGAAAACCATTACAATTAGGGTTTACCCTAATTGTGTCACACTATATAAACATATCATTCTTGTCAAAATCGGCCACTAAGTCTATGTGTGGAGGCCAAGCTGATTTCATGAAGTGATGATTTCTCTCGAAGTTATGCCAAGTGCATATGATGTTGTGTGAACCATTTGAGGTGTCACACTTGGGGCACTAGGCTCTTGAGCTCCATGGAATCACGCACCAACAAAGAGGTATGTAATTCTACTAGATTTTATATTACTTGTATTTCATAATATGCTAGTTAGGATAAATACCTTGGAAATTGATATTTGCATGTATAATAGAGAAAACATAGATCCAAGGTATTTAGGGTTGCATGTACACTTAGGAGTGTTAGAATGCTCAAAACCCAACAAGAAATCCGTTGTCGGCAACCTCAAACTGACCTTGAACATCGGAATAGGGACCCCTACCTTCCCCTCCGGCAGGCGAGAAATTATCGCCCCCTTTCGAGGATACTCCATGTCGTGCTCAGGAAGAAAACCAAACCACTCTTGAAGAGTGTTGAACTCGCTTGAAGAAGGAACGGTCCTGGTGTTCAAGTTGGCCATGTTTCGCCGAAGAAGTAGAAACAACAGTGAAAAGGAAAAGAAGTATCAGAAGTGAAAAGAACTAGGAAAAAGAAGTTCGATTCAAATGGGGGAAGTTTTAAATGCAGGCGGGAAGCCCAACCAGTTACAATGATAAAATCTGCATGCGAAAATGCCTCCGTCACATCATCAGTTGTCAGAAGCTATCCCCACCAAACACATGTCCAGATCTAAGCTAGAACAACTCGGCTACCCTAAGTCAATGCTGGGGTGGACTTGCCTAGGGGACTTGTTGACATATCCCATCAGGACTACATCAGGCATAACAAAACAATAAATTTGATAAGCAGGATGGGAAAATGACAGTGTACGCATAACACAATGTCCTCGGCCTTGCCCTTCGCAACCCCGTGTTTGTTCCTTTGCGCCCAAGTGCCATAACCAGCATCAAGACAAAATAGTACCAGTCGTCCCTTAGAGCGACATGTGTAATGCCCTGGATGTTGATCCCCTGGCAAGTCTGCACCAATAACAAACAACCACTCATAAAGCATGATCTCTCAATCAGAAGCCACATGTCCCTGTCGGGCCTAAAAAAGTAGAAGACATGGTCGGGGTTCTGTTCCCCTGACTCGAGGTATAAAAAGGCCTCTTCTCCTCCAATAGAGTGGACTAATACTTGACAATAACCTTTACACACTTTCTTGCCCTCTCATCAAAACCTAGAACTATCTTGATCATCAGAGCATCGTTTTGGGACATCCTCCTGTGTGACGACTGACGATCTTGTTTCCTTTGATGTGATTCTCAGGGCCCCCTTTTGTCATCCCTCACGAAGCAGGTGACAAGTTGGAGACATATCACAACAATATATATGCATGAACATATAGACGTGCACTAATACAAGTGCATATTTGTGTGCAGTTATGCATGCCCATATCTATATACATGAACATATACATGTACTTATAATGAATCATCTATGCCTTAACCATACTTGGTGTATACATTTGTGCACCATTAGAAGTTCCTAAGCATTTAAACATTATAAATTGGAAATTCGAAGAAAAAATGAACCTTTATTTAATATTTATTCTAGTAAATATTTAAAATAGATAAAATATATAAAAATGGACATGAATACATATTGAAAAAAACCTACATAATTTGATAATTACATATAACACCTTCTCCTTGAAATCTTACTTGAAGCCACACCTAGCGTTTTCTTCATTCTTTGTCCCTTTTTATGCTCATTTGTACTTTTCTTCTCTGTATGGAACTCTCATGATTTATTTTTTGGATATCGTGAAAAATGTAACAATCAAATGAAGTTGTGTTTTCTACAATCGCATTGTTTTTTTTTTATACAAAAAAATCTGTAGCAATTAAATGAAGGAAATGGAAGTTTTTTTTGCCATCCCATTGTATGGTGCAACTAATAAACTAAAGGATCGTGTAAGAAACACCAAGTGAATGTCAATCAAATCGAATTGAAAAAGAATGTGATCTAAGAGTTGGGAACTTGAATACCAACATAACCCATACCCATTATGACGAATGCTATAGATTGAAGATATAGATAAATGTAGTAATAGTACTTGCCAAATGCAAGATCATAACAACCAGATACAAAGAGGATAATGCCCACACAAAGCTCTAGCATAAGAATCCTGAAAGGATACAAAATATATATTATTAATTAGGTGTAAAACCCATGTATTACATGGGTTGATTAAAGAAAATAAAATATCAAAATGTAAATAATAAATGTTTTTTTAAATAAAATTTAGAAATATAAAATGAAGAAACATATTAATTGCAATTTATTATAATATTTATCACATTTGATATTATATATATATATATATATATATATATATATATATATATATATATATGATTAGATTCATGTGAGACGGTCTAATTTTGTGAGACCATGAGATATAATCCTAACCATTCATTTGGTAGATAAAACAAAAAACATTTTTAAAATGCAAAATAATTGAAAATTTTTGAAAAAAAATTTCAAATATTATTTTCGGAATTTATATTTTCCAAACAAAAATAAAAAAATACCAAAAAATATAAAAAATTTAAAAAAATACATTTTTTTATATATTTTAGTAGAATAAATATAATATTCTACATATCTGAGAAATCTAGTATAATATTCTAATATTCTAAAAATCACATTACAAAATTTACAGTGTAATATTCTATTAGAATATTCTACGTACATTTCAAAAAAACCGGTAATTTTTATTTATTTATTTGTTTATTTTAGGTAATTAAAGTTTTGAAAATAATTAAAAAAAGAAAATTTTACTTTTTACTTTTATTTTGCATTTTAAAATTAATTTTAGGTTTGGTCTCACGGTCTCACAAAATTAACATGGTCTCAATTGAACATGAACATATATATATATATATATATATATATATGTTCATGTTCATTTCAGACCATGCTAATTTTGTGAGACCGTGAGAGGATCAATTGAAAACCAAATTTCATCTAGAGGATCAAATTTTATCAAGGGATATTGCTAAGTCAATCATTATCCAAGTTAAATCCTATTTTTAGTAACTTAATAATTATAATTAATTTTTAATTCCACGATTTGGGAAACTAATCAATGGTTTGCATTTGGCCGTACATTCACACATTAATGAGAGTTTATACATGAACCTATATATAAGTAGAGATGTCATTATAATTGTCAAGATTCACATTCGAAAATTAGTTTTCCATCTATATGTCCAGTGAGTAGTTATTGGCTTGAAATATATTCTATTAGAATATTTCACGTACTTTTAAAAAAAATGGTAATTTTGTTTGTTTTTTTTTTTATTTTTTTTTTTTATTTTTTAGGTAATTAAAGTTCCGAAAATAATAATTAAAAAAAGAATTTTTAGATTTTTCCTTTTATTTTGCATTTTAAAATTATTTTTAGATTTGATCTTACGGTCTCACAAAATTAGCATGGTCTCAAATGAACCTGAATTATTATATATATATATATATATATATATATATATATATATATATATATATATATATATATATATATGTAATCAGGATCCATTGAAAACCAATTTTCATCAGGTGGATCAAATTTTATCAAGGGATATCGTTAAATTAGTCATTATCCAAATTAAATCCAATTACTTTGTAACTTAATAATTATAATTAATTTTGAATTCCACAATTTAGGAAACTAATCGATGGTTTGGATTTGGCCGTACATTCACACATTAATGAGGGTTTATACATGAACCTATATATAAGTAGAGATGTCATTATAATTGTCAAGAATCATATTCGAAAATTTGTTTTCCATCTATATGTCCAGTGAGTAGTTATTTTCTTGAAGTATATTTTAAAGATAATTCGACATCTTGTTAGTGGGCTCCTATCGGTTTTGAGAGTTATTTGAAGCATGCCATTAGATTTTTTATTATAGGTCTACCAAAGGAGTAAAGGACAATAGCATCAAAGATTTTCTAAGAGTCATTATTTTTAAAAGAGACATGTTCATTTAAAGGAGTCTCTATCTAGAACTTTAGAAGAGGGATTATGAATTTTAAATAGCTTTGCCTATGTATTGTATTAAAACTAAAATTCATTACGTTGCTTACGGTACGAGTCAAATGAAAACCATTAGTTTTTTTGGTTGATGATTTGTGTATTGCTTTTTAGGAATCATGTAATTTGTCATTAAGTAGGATCATTTGGTGGTTTAAAGATGGATTGATATTAATAGATTTGATAAAGAGAAGGATCATTTTATAGTAGTGATTGAATGAAGGAAGGCATAGGGTAGGATGATTGTTAAAGAAGAAAGAATTTAATAGTCCAAGAGATCTTAAATACCTTGTCAAGAAATAAAAAAGAATAAAATAGGTGATTTGGAGAAAAGGGAGTATGTATTGTTGATATATATACATATATATATATATATATGTGTGTGTGTGTGTGTGTGTGTGTGTGTGGTAAAGGTGATGAGAGCATTTAAAGATGAAAAATAAGAGTTTTAAGAGGATTGTCCAATGAAATATAAGTAATGAGATTGGTAATTGTTTAATCGATGATGAAAGGATCATGATATTAGAGAGGTTCAGTTTTGATTAAGAGAGAGTATTAAGATAGAATAGAAAATAGAGTTTAAAATTTTAATTATGAGGGTGGTTCTGTTTAGTTTGCAAGAGAAAAAATAGAGTGACTTTTACAAGTTATAATGAGAGAAGGTTGTGTGATAGGTGTGTATATGAATGATTTTCTAGTGCGGAGAAAAGAGATAGAGTGAGAGGAGTGACACTTTCTACTATATAGAATAGAAGTATGGGTGCTAACTTTTTGTATGAAGGGAGGTGGATTGGTAATTGAGATGGCTTTAAGGATAATATAATTAGGTTTGGTAGGTTTTAATTCCTTTATAGTTTGATTTAATAACTTTCTTCTTTTTCATTTGAATGCAAATATATAAATACCTGATTTCCTAACATCTTGTTCTTGAGTCCAACTTAAGGATAGAAAAGAAGGGAAATGAATAGAACTAGAGAGAAAAGAGAAATTTTCTTGTTCCCGAGATTATTTTTTGGAAGGAACTGGAGAAAAGATAACTGGAGATAAAGGGTGATCTTCTCTCCTAGTCTTCCTCCTAAATTGGAGGGATTTGGACGGAAGTCGGCATAACGGCTTGTTCGTTTATGGATTATGGATAAAGGATTTGGAGGGGAGTAGACATCATTTATAAAAACTAAGATATCTCGATATTGCACTAGTGTGGTGTGTTTGCTATGGAATTAATTGCAAGTTAAGAATTGAAGGGTTGGGTTATTGATGGTATAGGTGGTGGGATTATGGTTAATGGCGGAAACCTTCACCTCTTACCTTCGGAAACCACCGACTATAGAGTGAAATTTGTTGAGTTCAAGGATGAAAACCTCTGCCTCTTAACTCAAAGACTTTCATTGAGTTTAGGTTTAGAAATGTTTGACGGTTCTCCACAAGTTGTGTCTTCAGAACATCGTTCTTAATCCAGACTTCTGCATCAAGGCTCAGGTTTGATCACAAGTTGTGTCTTCAGATCTTAATTTTGATTCTTATTATAGTTTTTTTCAACTCCATTAGAACACATCTCGCCATTAGTTTGTTAATAAAACCCCAAATATTGATTTCAATTTGGCGAAAAGGAACACATTCTTCACCTTGTTATAAAGAATGGGACTGGTGATTGAGGTTAGAATAAGAGGAATGGGTTTTTATGTCAAGGTGGTTACGATAATTTTTATTATCATGGTGTTCTTGCTGAGAATGGATTCATGGTGATGTGGGCAATAGATTCTCACCGAAAACCTACCCATATAGGTTTATTTTTTTATGTCATGGGTGCTTTTTGTTTTGGTCATCTACAAAACTAAGGGTCAATATGAATGCTTAACTTTCAAATTACATCTTCATGGAGTTTTGATCATATTTTTGGGTAAATGACCAAATGCAATGATGGTGGAGAAAAAAAGGTGAACGTGAATTGTGGTATTAAGCAAAAATTATTGGTCAAATGGATGTACTCCCCATGGTGAAGATGAAGTTGGTTTAGATTGTTTGTAGCTGGTGGTGGAAGTAGGCAGACGGTGGTGGTAGCACTAGGCTAATGGTGGTGGTAGGTTCTTTGTATCGGTGGTAGTGGTCTTAAATGTTAAGAGAGAAAAAAATGGAAAAAGTATATATAAGGGTATTTTTATCATTTCATAAACATTTAACAAAATCTTGTTAGCAAAGTTCGTCACAAGGACAATTGATATGTTAAGTTTTTTCGAAAGGGACTACTAAAATGAATGGTTTGCTCCAAATTGACTATCTATGCAAAAATAAATTGTAATAAGAAGTATATTAGAGAAAAATTAAAAAGAATTAGGACTATTTTTGAAATTTTGTGCTCTAGAAATAATACTATATATATAATGATTCTTTAGTTTAGTCATCTATATAAAATTTACTATTATTAAGAATGTGCACCTTTCACTTAGTTTGAAGCCTAGTCTTCCATGTTGCCTTGTTGGAGTTTTAGCCTTGGAAGCACCCCCATGCTTCTCAGTGACAACCCATTCATTCACTCTTTGAGCCTCTAAAATTCCGATGAATGTAGCCTTGGTTCGATGGAGGGCCATGACATTCTCAAAGACTATCCAAAATACCACTAAATAAAAAGATCTGTAAAGTAAAAATAAAAATGGAAGTAAGAACAACAATAGCATTTTAGAAAGGGTACTAGGAACTATAGAACAAAAACCTTGGAGTTCCAACAGCATTCAGAATGGTGATGACCGTTGGGATATAAATCGTACCCCAAGTCGGAACCTCGACTTCAGGTATCCACACACTTGCAGGAATTACAACACAATAGAGCACGAATGTAACAATATGAGCCACGATCTTTCTTACAAAGAAGAAACTATATATCACATGTAGCTTCTTCCACAATGTAACTTTCTGAATAAAATAGAAAGATATTCACAACAATATCCATTGAGAGAACTAATAAGTCGCGAAACTAATGGAAAACAATATTACCTCATTTATCATGATCTCGTAAATCATTTTCCTGAAGAGGTTTGCTGGACCGCAAGACCATCGATGTTGTTGGTAACGATATGCTTTCAATGAACTTGGCAATTCGTTCTTAACCTATTTATCAAATATAAATATGTATTTAATACAAAGCATGGTTGTATTATGTCGTAAGTCATAAGATTTTAATCTTTCTTTACCTTTATTGAACCAAGGTACAAGAACTTCCAACCTTTAAGACTAGCTCTAACTGCTAGATCCATATCCTCCACTGTGGTACGGTCTTTCCATCCTCCAGCCTCGTTAAGTGCTGCCATTCGCCAAACTCCAGCAGTCCCTATGAAAACGTAGGAGATTAAACTTGGTTTTAAAAACATATATATATATATATATATATATATATATATATATATATATATATATATATATATATATATATTGCTTTGAAATCCTACAACACCTTTTTAATTACCATTGAAGCCAAAAAATGCATGTGTAGAAGAACCAACTTCTTGCTCCACTTTGAAGTGGTAGTTAAGTGACATCTCTTGCATTCTTGTCATTAAGCACTCATCAGAGTTCACTAAAACATTATAGCATCATAAATTGTATTAGCTTTTATGTGTTGATATCACTTTCTTGGAACTCTATAATATTAATACATAATTATAAAATGTTGGAATATGTTGACCAGAGGATTTCAAATAAGATAACCAAAAGTTGAAACACACTAATAGATAAAGGTAAGAAGCAAAACATGAGTTTAAAATATTCACATTTATTATAATAGAATAATAGTATTTTAAATTCTAATCGTTATTTATTTCAATACGAATGAAAAGATAATTTGATTCTAGCAAATACAAAGATAATGAATGGAATTCAATTTATCTTCCTTATCATATAAATGATAAAATTATTGAAATAGAGATTTTGGTGGATTTTATTGGAATCCAAATTTCTTGATTTCTCAATTTCTCCATATCCCTTCGGATCCCTTCGACATACACAAACGTATTAAGGATAAGAGATAAATATCTCCTTTAACTTACTAGAGTTAAAAGAGTAACAAAGGTTGCGTCTCTCGTAAAAAATTGTTCATCTTTCGTAACATATAGTATTAAACTAATTGTAAGATCCATATATTAAATAAGTAAATTTAAAAAAAAAAATTATAAATGTCAAATATTTACGAACTCTAAATTATTAAGAAAATAATAAAAATAATAAAAATAATAAATTATGATAATAGAAATGTTTTTTATTTTTTAAATTTAAATAAATAATTTAAATTAATAAAAGAAACTAATGGGTTTTAATTTTGAGATTTTTAAAATTAAAAGATATGTTTATTAATGAAATCGGTATCTATTTATTACTACATTTATTACAATTATTACATTAAAATATTATATGAAATTTAATAAAATACAAACTCGTAAATGACATGTGAAAAAAAATTAATTTAAAATAAACATAAAATGATATTTGACAAAATTGAATAATAGTGTAACAAATATATATATATATATATATATATATATATATATATATATATATATATATATATATATATATATATATATATATATATATATATATATATATATATATATATATATGAAAATCCTCTTTAGGTTTGTAAATTGCACTTCATCCTGCTGGGCTTTTTTGTTTTAATATATCTTGTTGTTAAAAAATTTATTTATTTATTGAAATATAATTATGTATTAGACCATAAAAAACATTTTTTCTGTAAAGTGTACTCTTCTTAATAAAATTGAAAATAAGTTTTGACAAAGTTGTTACTTGTTTATGAAACTAAAGAAAAATTTAAAATTATCAGACATATTGATAAAAATTTGAACAAACATAATCAATATAGTTCTTTTATAAAATAAGATTTATGGTAAATATTTTTGAGAACTATATACATTTGATATTGGCCTACTCATTTTAATGACACTGGTTATAATATGAACAAATAGTTTAAAAGTATTACTAGACTTTTATCATGTATCGACAATAAATTATACAATATAAATATAAAATATAAAATATAAAATAAAAATATACTATTGTTCTGCAGTACTTAGCAAGTAGAGGTGCACATAAGTCAAGATTTGAAAACGATCTTAATGGAATCAAAATCAGATCAGTTTTTTTTCTTATTTATTTATTAATATACGAAATGGTTTGGTTATGGAAGAAAAAACTATATCCTTAGCAACCGGTTTTCCGGATTATTTGATTATTATTTTCTTCCCTTTCCCTTTCAATTCATACCAAAAACCAAGTGTAGAGGGGAATTATGGACAAAAACTTGCCACATTGGATCACCAACACCAGACATAAAACATTTAATTTCGAACCACAATTTTTTTGTATTTGATCATCGTATTTTTTTCATTAAAAAAAAAATCAAGTCTTTTTTTTTTTTTTTTTTTTTTTTTTTTTTTGTTAATCACGTGAAATATGAAAACATGTTGGAACTATTTATATAGATGAACTTGACATCCCATGGAAAAATTAATTAAAATCGGTACTAAACGTGCAAGGACCTACCCACATCATCAATTTTAATATTCTACTATTAAAAGATTAAAACAAGTCTTAGAGATCTAAATAAAACATAATTTTAAAAATATATATAAGCTTTCATTTACGTATAATTTTTTTTATTAATAGTAATACAAACTTAGATAATGAGATCGACTTTCATTAGATACTATTATGGCTGGAATTCTATTTCCAGATAATTTAAAAAGTATTAGAAAATGTTAGTTATAATTTTCTTTTATATAAAAGACATATTTAGACATTAAAACAATAATACATTATGTGAGAACTTGGATGAGAACTTTAGAAAATTCTTAGATGCAAAATACTATAAGGTCTAACGGTATATCATATAGATCTACCATTCCATGTGATGAATGGAAGTGGCAGGTATAATAATTCAGTGAACACTACACCTTTTGTGATGTGCGATTGTTCACGAGTGAACTAATCTCCCTACATCACTTTTTTCCTATTTTTTCTTCTTTTTTTCTTTTATAAATTATTATTAAAACATATTTTTTTTTAAAGTTATAAAAAAATATATCAAAATTCATGGTTTTAAAATTTTTAAAATTAAAGTATATTATTGATATATTATTTATACATATTTGAACATTAAAAATAATATATTTCTTCTATTTTATCCTCTTACCTATTTAATGATTCACATGTATAATATATATATATATATATTTTTTTCATCTTATCCTTTGATTTTGACTCAATCTAATAACTAGGAGGATAAGTAAAAATATTTAGTAGGAAGAAATTAAATATTTATTTTAAATGACAGGAGTAGGAGATCCAAAGGTGAGCATTTCATAGGATGAGATCATTGTAAAAAGAAAATAAGTGGGTGATAAATTGGAAAAATAACAAAATAAAAAATAATAACAAAATAAAATACAAATAAAGGTGAAAGGAGATTATAGAACCCGTTAGTTTAAATACAAGATATAGATCCTTAAATATTTTATAATTTTTATTTGGTACTTTAGTGTTGGCTAATAAAACATCCTATTTTACCATTTAAACAACCCTAATTAATGTTTGAACTATTTTTATTGATTGAAATTGCATTGTTTTCCGAAAAAGATGATTACAAAAAGTTGATTATAGGTTGACTTTTTATAAAAATGATTATAGGGTGTCTAAGGATGTCTTGTTAGCATCACCCATTTTTAAATTAAGTGTATCGTATCGGTAGTGTAGTTGTTAGCTTGTAATACTACTATTAAGTAATTAAGACATCTAGAAAACAACACGTGAAGCATCAAATCATGTCGCAACTAATTATAAATATTTACTAAATGATTATACGAGGACCAATGGAAAAATAAATTCAATTAGTATTAAGAAATTCATACTTTTAAAAAGTTAATAAACTTTTAGAAAGTCATATAATTAAAAAGCCAATGCTCTTAAAGAATCAATAAAATATTGTTTTATGTATAGTTTTTCGAAATTAATAAACCTTGGTTATAACATATATATATATATATATATATATATATATATATATATATATATATATATATATATATATATATATATATATATATATATATATATATATATATATATATATATATATATATATATATGGTTAGGTTCATTTGAGACCACCTATATTTTGTGAGACCGTGAGACGCATTTTTTTATTTTTTTTATTTTATTTTTTTAGTTGATTTATGTTTCGAAAATAATATTTAAAAAAAGAATTTTTTTGATTTTTCCATTTATTTTGCATTTTAAAATTATTTTTAGAATATGTACAGTGTAATATTCTATTTTGAATATTTCACGTATTTTTCAAAAAAAATAGAATTTTTTTTTATTTTTTATTTTTTTTAGTTACTTCAAGTTCCGAAAATAATATTTAAAAAAAGAATTTTTAGATTTTTTCGTTTATTTTGTATTTTAAAATTATTTTTTAGAATATGTCAGTGTAATATTCTATTTAGAATATTTCACGTATTTTTCAAAAAAAAACGGAATTTTTTTTATTTTTTTTATAATTTTTTATATTTTTTTAGTTAATTCAATTCCGAAAATAATATTTAAAAAAAGAATTTTTGGATTTTTCCATTTATTTTTCATTTTAAAATTATTTTTAGATTTGGTCTCACGGTCTCACAAAATTATAATGGTCTCAAATGAACCTAAACCTATATATATATATATATATATATAAAATTAAAAGTATTTATATTCGTATTCTATTTACCTCTCCCCGCTTGCATATGGGGAACTCGGACGGGAGGTTTGTAGAAACAGGGCCAAAATTTATCTAAAATATAAAATATAGATGTTATAATTTGGTAAAATCTTTTGTTTTTTTAAAGAATTATTAATATTCTTTGAATTTTCTAGTTTTTAAATTTTGTATCATTTATCAATGTTATTGATTAGTCAATTTCATCTAATATTTGAACATTTATAAAATAAGATCAATTTAAAAGTTATAAAATTAATTAAAAATAAGATACTAATATGACAGTCAACTTATATGTGCACCGTTGAATGCATTGGAACCTATGTACTACATAAACTAAGGTTTATTTTCCCTTCTAGTGGCAAAATAATAAATTACTTATATATTCTGAAAAAAAAAATACTAAGAAATATATGATAATAAGTTATTCATTAATGAATACGTCTATTCACATATTTATTCAGTGATGGACAGTGTCTCTCTTTATATTTTTATTTGTTTAAAAATAATAACAAATATACAAATTTATCAATTATTTTATGATTAAAAATTTGTTAAAAAATATTTCTTAAAAAACATATTAGCTCTATTATTTATTCATAGTTTCTATTGTATTCTTTAAGGGGTTTTTTTTTTTTTTTTTTTTTTGAAAAAAAAATATTATAAAAAAATTAAAAAAAAAACTTTGTAGTTTATAAATAGATATCTATATCTTAATATAGATATTAATAGTTGAAATTGTGTCTCATATTATTTTTCTATTAGGAGTGTTAATTGTTTTAATTTTCACTATTCTCACAAAAAATATTATTATCCCAAAAGTGTATTTTATTATCTAAATAATAATATACTTTTTTTTAACAACAAATACAATATATTCTTAAACCATTCCTAAATCCACATATGTTTCAAACGAGACTTGAACATTCAACCTCAAGTAGGAAGGTAACACCTGGTATTGCTAAGCCATTTGGTGTAAAAAGTATATTGATATAAAAGATATAAATTATATTCTTATGTTTTCACGAGAACTATTGATTATAATTTAAATCATTTATGGTATGTCTCTTTCTCTATCATCCATGAACCCGAACTTGATGAACATGAGAGCACAAGATTCAATCCACCTACATGCTCTCCTTATCCATGAACCCGTACCAAGCCATCTTGGCAAGCTCTACTTGTTCAATTATGAATTTTGACTTCTTATAGAAACAACTACCTATCTAAATAAAATATGATCAATTATCTACCTAAGAAGATAGAGAGTCCCCAATACAATAAATTATCATAAGTAGGGTTGAACTATGTAACAGTGCAAAGACATAATGATATAGAGTCAGGATACCCCAACCCTTCGAATAGGACATGGAAGTCTCCTTTCATTTGACTATTTGTAGGGAAATGTCCACTCACCAATTTCCATAATATCCTTACTTTATCCCATCATGGGAGTTTATAAGAGATCCAAAGACTCGCTAGAAAAATGTTACTATAATATACATTTCAATTTAACTATACTCTAATAGTCACTAGACTAACTATAATTGTTCATCTGAATGTTGTTATTGAAATCATTACTCTAACTAAAATTAGTACTCTTCATTCTCTAGTGCTCTAGGGATTGTGATCCCTAAAACATTGCCTTGTAGTTAGGTAGGGCAATCAATCTAGAAATATTGGAATGAATGGGATCCCTATTAATATCAAGACGAAGAATATAGAATGAAATATATTACTTTTCTCTTATCCAATTGATGTATAATATGAGAAAATGAAATGTAACAAGATTGATAGTAGAGGAGTGGATGTTCCTAAAAGTGATAATTCACTTGCCCGTTATCCATATAGAGTCGAGATATCCCAACCCTCCGAATAGGACATGAGAGTCTCCATTCATTTGACTATCTTTAGGGGAATCTCCATTCACCAATTTCCATAATATCCTTCCATTACCCCATCATGGAGTTTATAAAAGACCCAAAGGCTCGCTCGAAAAGATTTTATAATATGCATTTTTATTTAACTATACTCTAATAGTCACTAGACTAACTATAGTAGTTCGTCTGAATGCTTTTACTGAAATCATTACTCTAAATGAAATCATTACTCTTCATTTTCTAGTTCTCTATAAATTGTGCTCCCTAAAACATTGCTATGTAGTTAGGTAGGGAAATCAATCCAAAAATATAGGAATGAATAAGGATCCTTATTACTATCAAGATAAAGAAAATATAATGAAATATAAAACTTTTTCTTACTCAATTGATGTATAAGACGAGATAACGAAATATAGTAAGATTGATGGCAGATGGTTGCATGCGCCTAAAAGTGATAATTCACTTCCCCTGGTCCATACGGACCTTATGGCATACAACTGAAATGAGTCCCACAAGATAGTCGCCCCTTTTCTCTCTTTTTACAACCTCATAGATGGAGGAAAGAAGGTAAGTTATAGAACGAGACAATGAAGGGTCACCGAATAGATAGCATGCAAGAGCTTCTCAACGCTTATTATTGGGTTCGTAGAGTCGTGCTTCTCGTTTAACTACAACGCCCACACCAAACTACCACAGGTGATAACACAATCTTCGTACAACAAATCCACTTTCAATAGTTGACTTATTTGCTCGACCAATCGTCATAATTTGTATGAGACATAGTAAGGACAATAGCATTGCATTATGGAATGCTCTATACACAAAACTTATAGATTTACAATCAAATTAGAAAAACACATCTTAAATTAGAAAAACTCTCATTATGATTTTTTTAGGTATTCTTTGTGTGGAATTGTAAATAATTCAATATTTTTGTTCGATACGTTTAATAATTTTATTTTATAGTTAATTTATAATTTACTAATGTTATGAAATTAAATCATATACCATATTGTTGCAAAACCTTTTTTAAAAATGTACATCTATATAACGCCGATAAAAGATTTTGTTAGTTGCGTAAATTGATAAAATAATAGTAAAAGTTTGAAACATTGATGCATAAATTGTTAAAGTACTATAAACTTATTGAGTAAATAAATCATCAATCCTTTATTCTACAAACTTTTATATATAATCCGTAACTTTTTATGGACTAGTTTAAGCCTTCAAGGTATCCATCATCTACCACTAATACGTACATAGATTTTTATCAGTTAATATAGTATAACATTGAATACTAAGTGTTGATCAAAGAAAACACATAAAACAAAAAAAGATCAAGTTTCACAGGAATATTTACCGAATTTCCAACGAGCTTGAACAAGACCAAGCTCAGAGTTATGATGAAGAAACGGAATAGTTTTCCAAAGAAAGTCAGGTTCAGGTTGAAAATCGGCATCAAAAATAGCTACATAATCGCATTCATTGGCATACTGATGCTTTAGACCTTCTTTAAGTGCCCCAGCTTTGTATCCTTTTCGATTGTCCCTCACTTGATAGTGTATATTTGTACCTTTACTTGCCCATTTTTCACATTCCACTTTCACCATATCCTATTCCACCATTTGAATAATCAAATTGAAGAAATCTCGTTATCCTAATGTAATTCTTAATTATATGTAAATGGTTGCTTTTAATTTTCATAAAAAGAATATATAAAAACCAGTTAAATAATTCTCTATGCAATGACGTTTACCTATCTTTATTCCACCTCATGCAAGTTTTTTAGACTAAAACATTCAACCACCTTTTAGTTTAGAAACAAAATATACAACCACTTATGAACTTTTTTTTATTATTTTGAAGAAAAGAGGTTCATGTTAAAAAAAAAAAAAAAATGAAAGAATCTTGTGAGTTGTGCCCATTTATGTGAAAACTCATATTTCCAAACTCATAAATAATAATAAACAAAGGTTATAGGTTACAACATAACTTTTCTTTATTGAAGGCATTACATGCTATTAATGCCAACTTGTGTCAAAAATCAAGATAAAACATTTTACTTTTATTTTTGGTATATATATAACGGGTGATTGTAGAGCGGATAAGATGGTCCTTGAAACAGAATGGAAAATAAAATATTTTTTTTTTATATTTATCTTTACCGACACAATTACACTTCATATGCAGGTGCTTAGGTGTAATTTCCATGGCATAATAGAAAAAAAAAAAAAAGTAAATTTACTAATTCTATATAATTCTTAAAAAAACATGCAAAATTAAACAACATAGTCAGCTTATAAATTTACTAAATCTTACATAAAAAAACAATGAAAATGAAAATATTTAATCTGTAAAATGAAAAAAATATCGTTTTTTTATTGATTTTATATTATCTACACCACGCTATAAATTAACAAAATGTTTAATTTACATGTTTTAGAAAATGCGATTGTATTGAATTAACTACCTTAATGACAGGATCTGTTGAATCATCAAGAACTTGAATTACAATACGATCAGAAGGCCATGAAAGCCCACATGCAGCTCCAATCGAAAGCTGATAAACCTGTGTACATAATAATAATAAAATACATTAAAAACATAACCAAACACAAAATCCAAAAACAAAATATATAAATAAATAAATAAGTAAAACAGAGCAATCGTGAAAACAAACCTCTCGTTCATTGAACATTGGAACTTGAATAAGAACAAGAGGATAAACAGAGCTCCCCAATTCAACATCATCTTTAAATTCTTCCCATTTGTAACGTTTTTCTGTCTTTCTCCCAAACAAACAATTGAAACCAACCACCACAGACATATAAACCTTCTCCACGAACAACATTACCGACATTGCAAGAGAAACATACATCAATATTCTCAGCAATGGCGCCAAAACAGGGACTCTGAATTGGACCCAGATCTCGACAATTTTCCCAATGATGTCATCTCCACCACTCGTAAACGATTCTATTATAACTCCGATTGCAGAAAGCTTCCCCATTTTCACTGGTTTTCTTGTTTGTAAAGGAGGAAAAACAAGAATCTGTGAACAGTGAAAACAGAGGATGATGATGCTCTGTTGTTTTTACTGTTTCTAGGCTTGATTTCAACTGTAAAAGGACAAAAATGTGGACTTTACAGAAAACCCATTTAATTTAGAACTGAAAGGACAGTTCGATTCATGGGATTATAAAGATTTGTTAAGCAAAGATTATGTGGAAAGTTTTGAGCTTCTGTAATGACTAATGAGAACAAAACAGCTCCCCACTCCCAACAATGGAAAAGTGAGTTGGAATGGTGAGAATAGGCATGGGACATGTGTTTATAAAGATAGAATGTTTTGGTTTTTAGGAAAATACAAATTGTGCTCTTATATATATATATATATATATATATATATATATATATATATATATATATATATATATATATATATATATATATATATCCGGTAAGAAAATTTTTTTGGTAGGAAGGTAAGAAGTTTTTTTTCTACATATTTTTTTGACGAACAAAAAAAATAAATCACTAGATGATTCACAAGAAAAAATTCTCAAAAAAACATCTTTATGATTCATTTTTAAGTAAATTAAGAAAAAATTAACTTTTATGACGATTTTAGTGAATAACAACAAAATCATTATATAAATAAATTATCGAAATGTTTTTTTGAGAATTTTTTCTTGTGAATCATCTTACAAATGAATCATATAATGATTCATTTTGTTTGTTCGCGAAAAAAATATGTAGAAAAAAAACTTGTTACCTTCCTACCAAAAATTTCCTTCTTACTTAATCTTGACTATATATTTATATATATATATATATATATATTATATATATTATATATATTATATATATATATATATATATATATATATATATATATATATATATAATGACATGGACCTACGATTTCAAATCACTTAATGAATTGGGTTTTTAGTTGATGAAAAGTTCATCTCTTGTATCATTCGGACTTTATAAAAGTTGTATTATATGATAGTGATAGATCGTAAATTTGCATTAACATATGGATAGAACTTAATGGTAGAAAAAAGAAAGTAGAAAAACATGCGTTTTAACTATTTGATGCACATGAGGATTATTTGTTTCCTGAACTAATTATATCCGGTGAAGATCCTGACATGTTCACAAATAAAGGATGGGAGGTTCATCCCGTTCATTTATCATTAAGACTATTGAATTTGTGTTGTTGGGGGAGTAATATAATTAGGGTGATGGTGCGTAATCGTATTTTTTTTATGGATATGTATAAGTTTATATTTTGAACTGATATTTTCACCTTATGTTTGGATGGGTTACACAAAATTCAATTTAGGATAATCAAAAAGGATAATGTCCTAAAAAACCTTAAGTATTGTTAAAAATATCGGTTTTACCATTTGATAGATTTTTGGTTTGTTTATGCCACAAACTTGCTATTATTTTGTCGGTTTTGACATTTTTATTTGTAACAGTAAGTTTCCAGGTTACTATGAAATATTATTTACGAAAAATTTCAAAAGCTTACAAATATTTTGAAAAAAAACATTTAAGATTATAAATCTTAATATTTGTAATATGTTGTTAAGGATTTACGAATTCGTATTGATGAACATAGAGTGACATCGTTTTTTATAAAGATTGAATGGAATAAAATCACTCATAGTAAAGTATTGACACTTATTGTTCTTTATGTCTGATTTGTAATAACTCTACAGAAGATATTCGACATGTGTTCATCAAGTGTGAAGCGACATTCCAAATTCGTTTCAAGATAGGTCATTTGTGTGATATAGACTTATCAAATTGTATTATTATGTCTGATTTATGTGGTCTTTTAGATTCGTTGTAGATCTTCATGACTCATCAATCAGTTTTTGAGGTGATAATAATCACTATGTAGTGGCATTATTTTTATACAATTATTTTTTTAAAAAGAAAGAAAAATATTTTATATGGTTAAAAAGTTTGTGTTTCAAAAATAATAATATATCGTATTTATTTATAAAAATAAATATAGTTCCATAACTTATTATTTGTAAAACACAAACATAAATCTTTTAAACATATAAAATATAAATGTATTTTTCTAATTTATTATACAAATATATTTATTTGTATTAAAAAAATATAATACATTATTATTTTCAAATACAAACATTTTAAACATAAAATATTTTTATTTTCTTTTTAAAAATATGAATGAAATGTAATTAATGTCATATTATCCATATCTTTAACTAATAGCGTAATTAATTATTAGCTAAAATATGTTTTTATTTTTGTTAAGAAAAATTGAAGTATTAATTAAGCAATATATTCAAAATTTGATAAAAGAATAATTTTTTAAAATTTAAATATCAAAAATTTATATGGAACCAATAAAAAATTGTCATACTTAAAGGTAAAAATATGTTTTGGTTTTTGGATTCAAAATATAAGTACGGTAAAATTTATATTGGTTTGATATAAACTTTTGCTATATAAATTTAAAAACATATATATATATATATATATATATATAATATATATATATATATATATATATATATATATATAGTTTTATCAGATTTTGAATATTTGCTATATAAATTTAAAAAACATATATATATATATATATATATATATATATATATATATATATATATATATATAGTTTTATCAGATTTTGAATATATATTTATATTTTATATGTTTATAATTTTAAGGGTTTTTTCACAAGTAATATTTTAATGGTAACCTGGAAACATTCAATTACAAGTAATAAGGGCAAAACCAAGAAAAAAAAATAGCAAGTTTGTGATATAAACGAATCAAAAATCTGTTGGATGGTAAAACCGATATTTTCATCCAAACTTAAGGTTTTTTATGACATTATCCCTAATCCAAAAGGATAGGTGGGTTACAAAAAAAATCCAATTAAAGATAATTTAAAAAGGCACTTGTGTATCTAGGCATAAAAACACAAAGCTAAATCATCAGTGAATTTTGAGTTCGTTCAAAAAGAAGAGCTATGAAGGGTTTCTTATACGAATCAAAAGAGGAACCATATATATATATATATATATTATATATATATATATATATATATATATATATATATATATATATATATATATATATATATAAGTTATTATATTTTAAATTAGTTAGGAGAATCTCGAAATTAATGTCATAATGGTTTCCAAAAATAATGAAATTAGTCAATCTTACCATAATCACCGACTAGAATTTGGTGGTCACTAAGACCACCGCCAAGGGCTTTGCCCCTTGTACCCCACTAAGGGCGTTGCCCTACGATTCTACAAGGGGACGCGACCCACTTAACCATTGGATTAATGTGACTAAGCTAATAACTAAATTGATATATACTTGTAATTAAAAGAAAAATTATTTTTGGGTTGCCCTTATAACCAGAAATAGTTAGAAATGATATTAGGAGGTAGAGAAATATGATTTGTCGATATATAGTATATTATTAATATATTAATTGAAAATAAATAGATGATATGTTAATTTATTATGTAATTAATAAATTAATATGAGATTAATAATAAAACAATTTTTTGTTAATTTATATGATTAATAAATTAATATGAAATCAATAAGAATTAATTAATTATTAATCGAAATTAATCAAGAATTAATTTGAGATTAACTGAAATTAACTAAAGGTAGAAATAATGAATTGTATTTATTCAATAGTTAAATAATAGATACAATTCTGGAAATGTCAATGGAATCGATAGTTTTATTGAGCTCTTTAAAGTTTCCAAAAGCCTCCTGGTGGTAAATAAGGAAATGATTTGAACTAAGATGAAATCTATTATTTAATCAATTCAAATATGAATTTGTCTGTAAGTTACCCAAACTATAAATAGAACCCTTTAACTTCTTATTTTGATGCACAACCTTTCTAAGAGGCGTATGAACACAAATTCTTTCTCCATCCTTGTTCTCCTATTCATTCCAGAGTTGGTAAGATTTTAGGAGTGAGCTATTGGAGGTATCAGACTTTTGTTGCTTACTTTCTAAAGTTCAAGGAAGGATTCAAGGAATTGCTTAAAATAACAATTGAAAAAGTATGTAACCTTAAACTTGTGATTTTTGAATATAACCTAGGGTTCTAAAAGTTTCATAGTATGCTGTTATGAGTTGTAAAGACATAGATCCCGAGGTTGCATGTAGGGTTCTAAACATACGATAATTGACATTTCATGAAAAGAAGTTTCCAAAATACTCTTGAAGATTCTTCAACTTAACGGTTACCTGAGAATAAAAGTTATTTTGAAAATGGTCAACATTCATAATGTTGGTAAATTCATAAGAATGTTTGACTGAAAGATTTTGTATTGTTTGTATAACCCAAAAAATCTGATATTTTCTGTAAATTGTATGAAAATGATGTAACGACCAAGTATAAATGTATGTGTGATTTCCTTTGTACAAACATGTATACGTAAGCAATCCAAAAAATTTCCTTGTATTGTATCTGTTGTAAGTAGAAGCTAATTAATAATAGTATTTCCTCAAAAAATCCGATATTTTCTGCTTTATAAAAGTGTCGTAGTCCTTGTATTACAGCATGAATTGTTTTCGTATTATCATGATTTAAGCACTTTGATTCCTGTATTGTATCGATGGTAATGGATCTCTTTGTGAGTGATTATAACCATGCATGATAATGACTAATTTGTTTGTCTTGGCAATTTTCCAAACACCGGTTTGATCAAGATTTTGTTACCCTAGACTGGTCTAGTCTAATTGTAGCGAACAGTTCAGGTGTGGGGGACTCACCCCTGTATAGCTCTATACACAAACTCTCGTTCTCCCTCCAGGAGACTCTGATTATAACTACAGGCTACAGCCAAATACTCAATAATGTCAACCGACAATTCTTACTAGATCCCAATGATTGTCACATGAATATATTTAATGTGAAACGTACTTTGATTTACAAACACCAGATGATAATTGTATGTAAAAAGACACAGCCCAACAAACATGAAAAGGGATAGCTGTAGCCCATTAGCATGTAAGTTATTTCTAGATAGCATGCAAATGGACACGTTGAAGCCCATTATACATATGATGAATCTCTCCATGCTAAATTAGCATGTGAATGGGCCATTAAGGCCCAATAACATGTAAAACTGATTTAGGCCTATTGAGCATGTAATTGGGTCACTAAGGCCCAATAGATATGAAACGAATATATTGGGCCCATTATCATGCAAACGGATCACTAAGGCCCAATAAGCATGTATAGGAAGTATTAGGCCCAATATTTGTACCGTTGTTGTATTTTGTTCGTTGGTTATAGTATAGTTCATTTCGTCGGAAATTTTGTCCATAA